GAAAAAAAATTAAGAAATATCATGAAACATAGAAATATGATCCTTTCTTTTACCTAATGTGTATTATGTTTTGTATCGTTTATTATTATTTGAGTTGACATAATTTGATTGCTTCATTTATTTATGAAAAATGACCATTCAATTGTAGCCTTGCGTTTTAATTTGTGTCAAACAGAGCACTGCTATATCAGATATCCGTATATGATTTTTGAGTTTCTCATATTGTTATTTAGGATATTTTCATTTTATAGCATTCGCAAGTATTTTTTATTTAAAAATTGCAGACTTAAATTTATTTTTCACTGTATCTACCCCCTCCCATCCCCGCCCGCATCCAAAAAGCACAGGCCTAGGGACAATCTTATTTGTCTTATTTGTATCAAAACTTCAACTTTACTCATAACTTTTGAACCCATTAAATTGGGTTTTTGGAACCTGACCTTAGATATTGATTTTCTTTTCAATAGATATAATTATATATCTATGTATAACTTTTTAATTGAAGAAGATTATAGATCTTAATTTCTTGTGAGCTTTTCCGTTTATTATTATTTTTGTTTCTTCTTGTTTTGTGTAATTTTACAGAAAAAAGAACAAATAAAAATCCCACATGTAGATGGTTTTGACATTTTAGAGAAAGAAAGGGTAAATATACTAAGACGACGATGATTTTAAATTCAAAGACCATGGAATGTTGAAATTGTTGGATTACAAGACATTGTTACTGCAAACAAAGTCTTATAATTTTGTACGTATTCTTCAATAAAAAGTAAAGGAATGTTAAAATTCCAAAAGATTGAAGTGATTCAGAAAAATTAATCTTTTCAAGGATTTATCAACTCCAAAATTTCCATTAGCTGGTTGATTCCCTTCACGGAATGAACACACTTTAACCCTTCATGGCCATTTGCAATCATCGACATTGTTGATTATAACATTATCTTAAACTTCCCTCAGCATAATTCATTTACTCCATTCATGAGTCTACTCCGCTCTATTTTGCCGCAAATATAACAACAAACTTTTGAAAATAATTTCTCTCTCTCTCTCTCTCTCTCTCTCTCTTTTAATTAATACAAATAACTACTCAAGTCAATATAATACTGCGTAACGATAAAATTTCATCATGGTCAATGCCGAATTCTTCATTTGAGCGGCTCGTTTAACTATGGCATCCGCCACGGTATTCGGAACACTGAAATTTCTTTTGAATGACACCACAAGCATGCTTCATGAAATATGCCTAAATAACAAGTCTGTATGATTGAAAACTTAAAAGCATCCAATAAATGTCTCAAATGATTATTGCATCATACCCAACAAGACCTCAGATGCAGGTGACCCTAATTTTTTGAAAATTTTAACAAAATTTCAACGTAATTTGATATAATGAATGACTGGGGGAAAAAAAGAATCCAAAAAAAAAATCTTAAAGTTTCATAGAAAAATTACATTTTCAAATAAATTACACGTAAAATGTTGAAACCTGCTTGTACTTAATGTTTACAGGCAACCATGATCCTTTCTGCACTATATCAAATATATGCAGAGATGATATCAAATATTTGTTTTTACGTTTTAAAGCAAATTGAAGTGAATAATAAATACAATGCTTTAACATTTTGAATGAAAAATACCGATCAATACCCATTACCTGTATTATCAAAAGTAAAGATTTACTCCAAATATTTATTGATATGTAATACATACACGTTTGAAATAAAAAAAAGTCGATATTTCGTAAATTCTACAGTTTTTCAAAAAATGCAACATGTAGCAACCGATCATTGGGTCGAACATTGGCTGACTGATTCATAACTAAGTGTTAGACTTTGTCTTTATACATGTGTATACTAAATTATTATACGGAATATTCTGTTTACATTCATGTACATGATCGATGCATAGCTCATACTGCGAGCTTGACTGGTCAACAAGGGTCAACAAGGTATACACGCACTCCTCCCGATCCCATCCTTAAAATTTTCACGGATCAATATTTTATGGCCTGTTTAGGATTGTTTGCATGGTATTATTCGAAGAATGTTTGAAATTGAGAACTATTCGTTATCTTATAAATGAATTTGTTTTGAAAAGAGGAACCGTGCGTTAACCCCATAGAAATCTTATAATGTTTTTTTCATTTGAGACTAAAATATATACACAGGCATAGATGTTATGTCCCCGCTATAAGCAGATCTTTCGAGATATATTCCTGTGATTTTGAATTAAAAGAATACCATAGAGTCTGACACATCTGGATGTTTTATATTTGGATTCTTTTTTCAATAAAGCATAAATTGTATCATATCAACAAAAATTTATGTATGATAAACGTAAGGATAAGGGAAAACAAAAAAAAAATCGTCAACAATTTAGTTTGTAAACAACGACTTTAAAATTGGTATGAAACAAGATGTATTTGTGAAGCACATGCCCCCGATGGTAACACAATTCTTGAGTGGGGCGTAGACTGAAAGTGGTATACACTTGTAAGATGGTTATTTACACTAGTCTTGATACGTGCATGAAAAGCAATGTTTTATATTATATACATGTATACCGGGCATACAAATCTGGTATTATGATATTCATGCGGTAAATTTTTCTTCGCGGCTGAATTTGAGAAACAATTCACACAATTCAATAGATTTTTATGTGGTTTGAATCTTTTATAAAACTTTTTTTTATCTTCCATTAAATGGAATGCCGACTCAGCTCACATTTTGAATTTTTATTATTATTTTAAGTTTTTCAAAACCATTCATTTCATAAAAAAAATTCAAAATTTTTTCTTGAAAGATGGATTCTTCTCATATACGTATTTCGTTTCATTAAAATTAATGAATCTTTGATGGACTTACGAAGACACTATCCCTAAGTGATCGATGGTTTCAATTAGATAAACTTCACCCGTTTTTTTTTTTTAAAGCAAAGTGCGATCAAGGTCATTTTCTTTTTCCATTATAAAAGTATAAATTAATGTTGCCAATCAAGTGATTCCTACTTGTATTTCAACAGATAATTTTTTTTTGCACAAAAATATGTTACCGTACTTGTATATTTAGATTGGAAGGGTTTTAAAAGATATTAAACGTCATTCACTTTTGCGATAATATGTTTGAGTCGTTTTTACTAAACACAAAAATAATTTCATATAGGAATATTGAAAAGAATGAAATAATTTTTTGTGTTTAGTAAAAACGACTCAAACGTATTATCGCAAAAGTGAATGATGTTTAATATCCTAATTGTAAGGTTATTTTTTACAAACTAATTCCATTTGTCCGGTTATGCCAAGGAGCACATGGTGAGTGTGATTAGTACACAGGAGATACTTAACCCTCTATGGTCTCTCCTTTAGTATTTTAGAGGTTTATATTTGCACATGCTTTCAATATTATCTGTTTCAATGGGCTTTTGAGCTTGATCATTGTTCGTTATCCTTATATTTCACGAATAACAGAATATAAAGAAGAAATAAATGTCACGGACAATTTTGACAAACCTGTGTTTACCCTTTTTTGTGTACTGTTTGGCCCAACACGGGAGGTGCCATGGAGGAGAAGGCATGCGCATGCTCTGTTGACCAACCTGTGTGTCCTTGGCATGATCCGGCAAAGAGAAAAAAATCATCATTCGGCAATTTAGTCTGAAAAGAATGGTGTTAAAATCTGAATTAAAATTTAAATTTCTTTGTCTCCACTGGACTTTTACGAGTAGCGCTGACTTTTACAGTTGACAGCTTAATTTTACTCTAGAACAATGTACAGAAGCTCTTTAACGATATATATATTTAGCTCAACATATAATTCAACCAAATAACGGGCTAATTTTAAAGCATAAATCAGTTTTCGTTAAAAAAACGACAACCATCTTACCCTCAACTCCCGGTCTTCAAATGTCAGTGCCCCTAACAACATTAAGGGCACTGCCTATGACCACTAGAAAGGTGTTCTTATCCATTATCAATTCCGTACCTCCATACATGATGCAGGTTTAAATGTTAAGTAAACCGTCAACTGTGAAAGTCAGTGCTTTTCGTAAAAGTCCATAAAAACATATAAAATGTTTACCTTTATAATGATTATTGTATTTTATATCTGGGATTCCTTTGTTGTTAAGATTTGACGTAGATTTCTTTTTCGTTTACAGAGAATAATGTTTAGTAAATTTAAAAACTACCAAATAGGATTAAAAAGAGAAATAGTTGCTATTTAAAAATGCTTTTAGCAAGAATTATTTGTAAATATGAAATACAAATCAAAGCGGATTTATTTGTGAAATATATTTTATCAACTTACATTAAAAAAGAAATATTTATTTGGAGTACTACATATTTATAATAATAATTATAATACCTTTTGCTGATACATTTCATTTGTAAACGTTTAAAATGCAATTAATATACCGATATCCATCACACGACAATCGTTGACATATATCTATGTGAATTATTGTTTCCTTTACCCTGAATTGTCCTTTCTGCACCATATTAAATGTACTATTTGCACTTTTAGATAAAACAAAAAAAAATCAAAGGACCGGAATAATAAATACAATGACTTAACGTTAACGTTATTAACCAATGAAAATCCATCATTGACTTTACTTTCTAAAGTATCGATATAGTGTAAATATTTCTGTCCCTGCAATTATATGATAGGAGGGAAAGAGCAGGTTTGATTATACATGTAGTTGATAATATCTAAAGAATCGATGACAACTTAAAACTTTTTATCATGGAAGTTTATATACATATATGAATTATAGACAGGAAAGACAATGCATAAAATAAACCTTTTAGTGATGTTTTATAATATTCCAGGGATATTAATGGTCTTGAAAACAAGTGAGTCGTCTAGATGTATTTAATAAAAAATTAAACCTAAAGAAATAATTGAAAGGTACATCTTGAGAGAATTTATTAAGTATTTAAAAGATTGATATCTAAGTAAAAGGAATGAGAAAATTATAGAATTCATATCTTTAATTTTTAGGTGAAATTGCCCTACGACAAGTACAACTAAGACTTGACCTTATTGAACCGTCATTAGCGATCTGGTCTGGATCTAATTACCCCCTGACAGGGTGTGGACTTAGGTGTTTACAAAGCAGTGACTGTGTGTCTTTATTGTACAATTCTACAGATAAGTCTTGTAAGCTTTTTCAAGTAATATACAACGTGGAGGATGGAGGGGGTGACACTGTAAAATATTTCATACTGGATGAAGGCAGTACACGCCGGGGTAAGTAAAAGAGAGATATTTAAATCACGAAAAAAAGGAATTTGAAACTGTTGTAATATTCTAGTTTAATAGCTTCTAATAGTTTAGAAATTATAATCTATAAAATTAAACATATTGCGATAGAAGATTCATGGCTAGCTTTTAATGGCATGTTATCTTTGACTAAACGTTGTTAAAAGTTAATTTATTGTAATTTATAAATGGTGGCACAATTATTTGGAAAAAATACAACACGACACTGTCGAAAATTAATATCTCGTAGTATGGCTGATTATTTTTTAAGAAACAAACTTTAAAAATCATTTATTATTTATTACAGAAACCACTTTTCATTATTATTATAATTTTTATAAAAATAATATTTTAAATCAAAATATGCTTTATATACATGTAATTGTCTTTATCGTCACATCTTGCATGTCTATTTTCCATTGGGGTTGGGAGGGGGCTCCTGTCATATTAAGAATCTTGTTTTACTGTAGATCCATTCAACCCCGTCCATCCAACCCCTTACCAAATCTACTTTTTCTATTGCAGTATGTGCCATGCTATTGCAATAAAAACAATTAAGGTAAAGATTAAATACCCTTCTGAGTTTTAGAACGTGACTTCTTGGTTTTATGGTAGGCAGGATTACCCCACCCCTTTTGATAAACGTTGCAATCGGTCACTCTTTTGTTTTTTCATTGTATGAGATATAAAGTTGCATTGATTTAATAGTTATCTACTGAACAATGTTTCAGAGAAATCCTATTTTTCTTGCGAATATATCACATTTAAATTGCTTTTTAAATGAAGCTTTATTTAATCCCCTAGTTTTAGTATCTAAATATTGACAGAGTTGAAGAGTATACAAACATTTTTATATGTTCTACCTTCCAATTATAATATCGGAAAATACTCTGACATATATGAACATGTAAATAAATGCATTTTTGAAAAGTTTCAATGATCTATGTGTTCCGTTGGAGAACATACATTGCACACCAAAAAAATCGATTTTTGCTGAGCTGCTCATGCCTTTTTTTTATTATGAGGATGGAAATAACAACAATAATTAAAAGTATTAAAACACATCTTTTCTAAAGTTTAAAGATATACCATAATCCATTGATTTATATACATTGTTCTTCAAATGTGAGCTGCAAGGTAATAATTTCCAGTCAGATGAATATATCATTATTCCAGATTAATATTTAAAAACAAAGCAAATTTGCCTTTCATACATGCATCTATTAAATGCAGTTACGTCTCCGTAAACTCCACGGTCGATATACTGATCGTGTTAGCAAATACTGGTACAATCTATTGTTAAGTCGAATGCTGACTGACTTTTTCAAATAAAACTGTACATAGACCAATATTTTCACTCTTCATTCATTGCCATCGAATTGTTGCCTTTGTTTGGTTATGATAAGTATCACACGGGGTGACTGTCGAGATGATTCTTATTCCTCCATAAAACTTCTCTAATGTTTTGAGAGATGAGATCCGTGTTTACCCCACACGCTATTTAAATTGTTCCAAAGAACTTTTGAACCTGGTTACAGTTTGTTATGTTCATATTTTATTCTATTCACCAGCAAGACGACACATTCAATATTTGCAATAAAAAAAACAATACGAACTTTATCATTAGATAATGCCATAAACACATATTTTTAATGTTAGATATAGTTAAGCTCCTCGTTCAGAACTATAAAAAGTATACATATATTAAGAACTGCATTAGAACAATATATTAATAACCGTATTTTAAAAAAAATATGTGAAGAAAAAAACTTCAATAAAGATTTGTACAGTATCACAGCATGTTTTCTTCTTATCTTCCACAGTACCAGAGTCTTGTCAGGATATCGCCTCCAGTACAGGAATAACGAAGAATGGCGAGTACTGGATATATCCTCAAGCAACGAACAGAAAAAGAGTGAAGATATTTTGTTACAACATGGCATCTAATCCAACTGAATACATAACGTTGGGGAGCCCGACTTCTTTCATTCAACACGATCAATCGAACTGGCCAATTATGTGGCAGCAGTGTCAGTCTAGTTACACACTACCTCTAAAGACGGTGTATTTCAAAAAAGTTGGAATAAAAATTCAGGTACATGAAGTTATAATAATGCTCTGCTGCCGTTTCTGATAATCTTCGCATGGAGGCAATTTATATTAATTAATATATTCATTACTTTTTACTTAAGTCTTAAATATTTACAACAGAGTTACATCAGAAATTTCAAAAATGATATTCTTTTAAATCAGAATTCAAGCAAAAGAATACAAACAAGCTAATTCAGAGAATTTGTGCCCCCACTTACGGAAAAAAAGCATGCATGGATCTAGGGTAGGGGGTCTAGGGGCACCTTATGAAAGGACAGACGAACAATCAGACCGAAAATATTTTCCCTACTTTCAGGGAAAATGAGAAAGAAAATACAATCAAATTTAATCTTTTTCCAAATTTTGTCCAATTTTGCAAATGTAGCAATTTTGCATACCCGGTATATCGTATGTGGAACATATTTTACATCTACAAGTTGAAATTAAAGTGTTAGTCATTTTCTATATGTAGAACATGGAAGTTAATGGATTGGACTACACTTTTACTTTGCTGACTGGCACGCCTACGATACCGTACGGAGAAATCAGAGATTGTAACGGTGAAGCATTCCGGAATCCCTGTCCACATTTCGCAAGTGCAACCATCAACACTAAAGGAACCGGACTTGTTATTGATCCTTCTGTAAGATTTCGTTTTCAAACGGCTGAACAATTTAAACGACATAAATATTTTCAAAATAATTTTGCAACGCTGCAAATCACAGATGCTCTTATATATATAGTTACAAAAGCTTGGATTTTTTTTAGCTAAAAAAAGGGAGGAAAATGAAGACTTACAAACTTTTTCCTCGATGTAAATTAATATTCCGCGTGTTCCTTTAACTTTTTATTTTTTTCAGCTAACGTGGGGAGTTATTGATGGCAGTTACCCAGAGATCAGAAATTTTCAAAAATCAACCGATGATTCCGAGATTTCATTTACCTGTGCAGGATGGTGTGCAAGATGTGGACCAAAGTCAGGACCCATTACATTTCAAGTGTCAAACGAATTTAGTAAGCGTATTCCCCCTTTTTATGAGGAACTCTTTTTAAAATTAACGACAAACCGATTTAAATATTCAAACTTGAAGACAAAATTCAATCTGATTGTAGTTATGAATATTAATATTCCTCAACAGGATAGATTTTGTGTGAATAATCTGCTTTTTCTAGTTAGTCAACCAAATTAATATAAATAAGAGTTTTTTCTTTCTCTCTTTTTAGTATCAGCTGCAGATGCTCAAGCCATAGTCTGTCATAACTAAACGTTTATATACCTTCTCTATCACTGAAGACTGTTCAATCCAGGAATAATATGTATGGATGTCTGTAACAACTAATCTACCGCTTTTATTATACCCCGCTCAGGGAGTATACTGTTTTACCCTCTTCACTGTCCGCCTATCTATCGATCCGTAACAAATTTTGGTCGCAGTTTTCTCAGCATCTACTCATCGGGGATGTTTGAAATTTAAGCACATTCTTCGCACTGAGTCAAGTCATATGGAGGGATTCATTTTTGTACAAATCTGATGTCAACTTCCTGTTTATCCTCGCCTCTGTCCGTACCATGCATAACAACTTTTCTTCGCAGTTTTTTGAGCAACTACTCATCGCAGATGCTTGAAATTTCAGCACACACTTTGTTGAGGCATGCCATACGGTGGGATTCATTTTTGTATGAACTTAATGTTAATACATGTATCTGCCCGTAACTGAACTTGTGTATGCTAGCATGATAGTATATATTCACATTAAGGCGGGGGTATTATTAGTGAGCATTGGCTCACAGACTTCATGTTATCACTGGAAATTGTTTAATTTTAATAGAATATGCATTTTATATATATATATATATATATATATATATATATATATATATATATATATATATATATATATATATATATATATATATATATATATATATATATATATATATATATATTACATTCTGTATTTAACGTTTTGTTTATAGCTGGTAAAGTGACTTTCAATTTAAATACTTTACGTAACACTTCATTCCAACAACTCTACAAATAGTTTCAAATTTTAACTTTAAACCTACTTATTTGAGTATAATCATCAAATACTATGAACAGATTGATTCATGAAGCTTACCATAGACCATTTTATAAGGTTTACCAAACTCTAAAAAATAATGGTGCTATCAAAACCTGCATTTTTTTTTATTCGCGCATATTTCAAAAGACATGTATATTTTTGTTTTTTATATTACTGTAAATGTATTATATTTAGCGTGTACGATATTTATCGGAACATGATTTTTTAACAAGTTAGCGTACATTTAATTTAGCGCATTTCTTGATGTTCTTATTCATGTATCAATGTTTAGGACATTTAGCAATGTACTTGAATCAGCGGAAGTATCTTTCCGCCAAAGGCGCTAAAAAGAATACACCGCCAAATGTAATACGTTTACAGTATTTATTCTGTGTAAACACTGTCCTCAAGTTTTTAAATTAACACGATTAGGTCATTTAACTATACTTTACTCCAAAACAGTCATTGCATAATGTCAGTTGTGTTACCATTGAAAAACAGCAAATACATTATCGTAATATAACATTCAAAGGCACCACAACTTGCTCTGTATTTTACTTCAAACTATTTTAGTTCACAATTGATTACTGCCTTTGTCACAATTGTATATCTTTCATAATCTCTTTCGACCCTTGTTAAAGTTGAATGATCTTGATTGAAAGTTTATTTACTTTAATTAGAGTTCTGTCCCTTTGTGAATCCAGCTAAATAACATTTAGACATGATGCAATAGATTTATCAAATTTTTATTAATTTTATTAAATCTGTATTTATACTATTTATTCACTGCTTTAAGGGAAAAGACTGTATGGCACAGGGTAGACCTATCCTTGAACTTTTTTAAAAAAATTAAATATCACTAAATATTTTAAATGAACTGATAGATGCAACAAACCCAAAGTTACAAAAGCATACTCATATTTTAAGAATTATAATTATGGATATTCCCATTTCTAATTCCCCTAAAGATAGGTCAAGGGACATAAGTATCTAAATATAGGCTACCGTGTGTACGGATGTTTATTGACCAATGACCTTGAATAAAATGAACCGAATAAAGTTGAAGTTCCTCGGTATTTTTACATTAGCTCATTCTGTTCAAAGAATATTTAACTAAGTACACTTTTCTTCACTCAAAATCTGCTGATGAAGTTGGTTATTATTACCATATTGTTATCTCTTGTACCATGTGCCAGTGTTTAAAGTATGGACGGGTGGAAAATCGATCTGTTTCAATCCAATAAAATATTTGCCATCGCGCGAGCAATATCAATGCTTTACAAGATCATCCATGTTACTTCTTTCGACTTAACCTTAACTTTAACAAGAGACCCAGGAGGGGCCATAGCGCTCACCTGAGCACATCGGCTAGGAAAAAGCACATATCAGATCAGAACTGAAAGTTTACTGAGGTTGGGGGAGGGGCTTGAATTTTAACCCCCCAGGAGATCATGATTTGAACATGCTAGAATTTACACTATCAGAGGATGATTCCATATAAATATTACTAATCATGGCTTTGAAGTACTTGAAAAGAAGATTTTGAAAGGTTTCCCTATATATTCCTATGTAAAACTTTGGTCGGTCATTTTGGCCCCACCCTAAACCCGGGGGTTGTGATTTGAACAAACTTGAATCTACACTACCTGAGGATACTTTCACATGAGTTTCATCTTTCCTGTCTCAATGGTTCTTGAGAAGAAGATTTTTAAAGATTTTTCCTATATATTCCTATGTAAAACTTTGATCGGCCATACTGGCCCCAACCTACCCAAAGGGGTCATGATTTCAACAAACTTAAGTCTACACTACCTGAGGATGAGTCCACTTGAACGTCATCTTTCCTGGCCCAGTGATTCTTGAGAAGAAGATTTTTAAAGATTTTTCCTAAATATTCCTATGTAAAACTTTGATCGACCATTTTGGCCCCACCCTACCCCCAGGGGTCATGATTTCAACAAATTTGAATCTACACTACCTGATGAGGATGATTCCACATGAGTTTCATCTTTCCTGGCGCAGTGGTTCTTGAGAAGAATATATTTTAAATATGCCATTAATTTTTCTCTAATTCATAATTATCTCCCCTTGGAAAAAGGCGTGGCCCTTCATTTGAACAAACTTCAATCCCCTTTATATCAGGATACTATGTAGCAAGTTTGGTTGAAATTGGCCTAGTGGTTCTTGAGAAGAAGATGAAAATGTGAAAAGTTTACAAAGACGACGACGACGACAACGACAACAACGACAACGACGACGACAGACAACGGACAAATTTTGATCAGAAAAGCTCACTTGAGACTTTGGCTCAGGTAAGCTAAAAACTGGAAATTATGATAAAATATATCATAATACAAAAAATAAAGCGGCTACTTTCATCAGCCACCTTTCACTTTCATTGATGCATAGAAAAGGGGAGATAACTCATAAACCTAGTGACTAAGTACCGACACTATATGGATGGATAAATAAATTCTGGCTTATCTCATTTCTAAGTTTCTGTCACAAAAAGGAGGCGAATGATGAAATACAAGAGGCCCAGGGGTCACATCGCTCACTTGAGCAAATCGGCCAGGAAAAAGCACAAATCAGATCATAACTGAAAAGTTTACGGAAAAGGGGGGGGGGCTGAATTTTTATACTACTTGAGAATGAATTCATATTAATGCAGCATATGGCTTTGCTGTTCTTGCAATTGATAAATAGCTTTTTTTAAAAACACTTTCTTCCTATATTTGAATTTGATTCCCCATTGTTTCCCTTCCTACCCCAAAGGGCCATGATTAGAATAAAAAATCGTCAATACAAGAGGATGCTTACATGTCAATAAGACACAACATAGCTTTTCTGTTCTTGGGATTTTTCCCTTTATTTTTCTACACTACCCGGAAATGCTTCCATATAAATATTAGTATCACTAACAATGGTTTTGCTATTCTTGAGTGAAATATTTTTTAAAATATATTTTAATGTAAAACTTCGACCCCTCATTGCAGCCACACCCTATCCCTGGGGGTTATGATTTGAACAAACTAGAATCTACGCTACCTGAGGATGATTCCATATATATATCACTAATCATTTCTTTGAAGTAAAAATAATCCCTATCTAGTCCTATGTAAAACTTTGATCGGCCATTGTGACCCCACCCTATCCCTGGGGGTCATGATTTGAACAAACTTGAATTAACACTACATGATGATGATTCCATATGAGTTTCATCTTTCCTGGCCCAGTGGTTCTGGAGAACAATATTTTTAAAAGATTTTTCCTATATATTCCTATGTAAAACTTTGATCGGCCATTGTGGCCACTGTAACACAATTGGAACATACCATACATATGAATAAACTATATATTAACTTTATAATGTATGTTGTGTTTCGTATATTTGATTAATAAGGGCATATGTGTATAAGATATAATAATCCTTGTATGTCCTTGAGAGCCATTTAGGTTCTTATGCACTCTATTTCTATTTACTAATTATGAGTCAATATTGTTGTAAATATTAATGTGAAATATTATGGGTCAGTGTTGATGAAATATCACGATTGAATCAAAGATCAACATCTTAGCATTTACGTGGTCAGTATCCACTATTAGTATTTAATAATTAATTGAATTGGAAATTACTTGATAATATTAACTGACCACATTCAATATTTTAATTGGACGCTTGATTAAAATCTACAACTAAATCGAACGGAACAATTTCATTAATGACTTAGAAACTTTCCAATAATTAATACCAGGATGATTGGAAATATGAAGGTATATATTCGGAGACTGGACAGGTCAGAGAGAGATTAGGAATTGAGACAAACGTTTCACTCAACCACTATACGAACTTTGTTCCCCCCTGTACTAGTTAAGCTTCCAGTGAATGTACTAAGTTCTATTACTAACTCTGATATAGGAACTGTAACTGTGCTGACAACTTTGTTTATATATATGCATGACGTCTATATTGTGCAACAGTGACATAATAAATAAATAAATATATAATCGTATCCAAGTCGTTGTGTTATAGACGTTCATTTTGGTGCCGTGACCAGGATTTGGATTCGAACGGGTGACAACTGGTTGGATATCTGTAAATTAATTTAATGTTTGTAACCAGGAATAATGAAATTCTCCACGATCATATTGATGTCAATGACCATGCGAAGTATAACTAAAATGTCGAACGCGGGGGGAAAATGTGGCAAGGTAGCTTTCTGACCCAGAAGTATCTGTAGCCTGACCAAGTTTTGATGTTTTTCTTAAAT